AATTTTCAGAAATAAACATCAATACACTTCCATCTTTTCAAATGAATGAATTTGCTGCCATTTTTTCATCACTGGTTTATTACTTTTGGCTGAATGAAATCAATATTGTGAGCACTCTCTTTAGCCTCAGATAAGACACAACAAAGATGAGTGATTACGAATGTGTGGAAAAGCATAAACTTTTACCATCTTCTAAATGTAGCAGTAGTAATTTCCAACCTGTTTGGACATTTCTATAGTCCCGGTAGTAAATTTGTCCTGACTCGTGAAAACTTAAAAAATGTATTGATCTGTATACTTTTTTATCACAAGCATTGAACAAATTAATTTACATTTTGAAAGTGCCTAATATGTATTTTTACATGATTATGCTGTTAGCAACACTCTTTGTCTCTCATCTTTTGCTTTCTGCCTTTGTCTTATTAGTATTAGGGAATGTAAAGAACAAATGAGGCCAAAAATTGCAATGAGGAGGTTGGAGGGGAAGCTAGAGTTGAGGGGGATAACTGAAGATACATTTCCTCAATATAACTTGTTCATTCTAAATGTATGCTTATTTTTAAAGTGATAAGAAGGATAGCTATCAGAAAGAAAGTAAAAGTAATAATATGGGCAACATTACAACCTTTTTTATGCACGTGACTTTGCAAATCTTTGTACCTGTCACATGTCAAATTTGTAAGACCAAGGTCTGCTAAAGAGAACCTGTGGAACAATCAGGTGTATTTATGCAAGCAATATTTCAGACACCAAGCTCAGGGAAAACACACCATATCGGGATGGGTTGTCATACTATGTTGTGCCTGGCATTTCCCTGTTCTTTTTATCACAAAATGTAAGCATGATACTTTGACAATGCTTTGCATTGTCAATGTTGATTATTGTGTTTCCCTTTCTTTCAGAAATTAATGAAAGTACTTCGGGTTTTACCGGTTATACAGTAACTTTTATCTCTATATATCTCCATAAAGAATATCACTTCTAATACCAGTAAAAATAGTTTTACCTACCAAACAGATGAGAGGATGGCCGTTTATCTATAGGATCTATTCAAAGAGGCATCTGAGCATCCAACAATACGTTTGCAATGTGATGAAAATTATAAATTTTTCAATCACTAGTGTTTAAAAGAAAAAACATTTTGAGACATCTGACAATCTTGCCTAACCAGTTTGTTAATTACTAAGACTTTCCAACACAGTAATGAACACAAGGGTCTAATAGTCAACCCTGTGATATGTTTTTGTATTTGTTTACACAAATTTGTTTATACAAATACAAACTTGTTTGCCTTTTTTTTTTTATTAAAGCTTACTTTAGAAATGGTGTGAATAGGTCTCTGGTGATTTTTTGGATTGAAGGATCAGTAAAACAGAAACTGCTCTTCCAAGGTCGCCTAGAACAGTGGGCTAAGAGGAGCCTTTCACTGTATCTTGGCAACCATGCTGTTTAATTTTCACCGACCATTAATTTTTTAAGCTGCCATAATTTCTGCCAGACCGTCAAAAAAAGAAGCACATGAGCAGAGGGAGCAGCACTACATTGAAAGAAATGTCTTTGAAATAAACATTAATATGCTGTAAACTCATTACATTAAAAATCTGTAACAAGAAAAACATTGAATCAGTGTATATTTAAAAGAAATATATTGTAAAAAACAAACCAATAATTGTTCATTTCACAGTCAGTGTATGTGAAAAGGATAATATTTCTTTGTAGAATTGATATGTTACTGTATTATAAACACAGACAAATTGTAATACTTGAACCAACACAAGCTTTTTTTCAAGAATTGAATTTAAAAATTCTGTTGTGATTTACAGTTAAATGTGCAGGCCTAACTATGATAACATGAAGAAGTTGAGAATCCAACATGTTTAGAACTGAGACATATAGGCTAGTAGAACTGTAGTCATGGTCAAAAATATATTTTTACACTAAATTGACAGATTACTGTGTTATCAGTTCCCTATTTTTTGTATCATATTATACTTATATTAAGATCATATTATTTTATCAGGTATTTAGTGTTTTAAGTTTTGGTTTATACAATATGTGGTTAAATACACAGTCCACAGGAGACATGGGGGGTAAAATGATGAGTGAAGAAGAAAAGGAGGTTCGCCCGTCCTCTAATAAATGAAAAACAAACATTGTTTGCTGTAAATTTTGGTCCCACGAAGACATTAACACCTTCTTAAAATTTCAAACTGTAGGTACCAATCAGTTTGATTTGATACATTATATAAAACACAACGTTTTACTAGTTTGGCACAGTGGTGTGGTGGTTAGCACCATCGCCTCACAGCAAGAGGGTTTTGGGTTTGAGTCCCCCCCTTTCATAGCAAATATGTGTTAGTTCATATGTAATGGCTGCAACATGAAGTTTCAAATGATTCATGTTGTTTGTGAGTAATTTGTCATCTGATAGCTTCTTAAATTCGAGCCACCCCTCAGAAAATGACTGGATGTTGACCATTAAATCACATGAAAACACAAAAAAACAGTGCTTGATCATTTCTAATAGAGTACAGTGCTCATGAACAAAGGAATGTCAAAGGTGCAAATGAAGGTTTTGTTCTTTGAAATCTATTAATGTTTATATTTGGCTGTTTATCATTGAAGTGTAATGCTTTTTCTGCATGATACATGCTGAAATAAGTTGAAGTAAAGTTCCATCATAGCACAGATCCCTTTTGAGGCCAGCTAAGCGAAAACGTAGTTGTCCAAAATGAATGAGCAACATAACATTTTTTGTCTTTTGTTTCCTTTATTGCATTTTATATCAATTAATCAACAACAGTAGGAGCTCTTATTAGTTTTAAAATGGAAGGTCCTCTTTACATAAATGCATCATATGACTCTTACTAAAAGAAATCTTCAAACATTCGTCTTGTAGGTGTTAAATTTAAGAAGTCTTGATATGAGCAAAAATATGTAAAGATCAAAAGTAAATTCAGCCTGTGCTGAGGTTTTTTTTTGCGCCTTTGTGCTTTTGCACATATGAAGGGACTGCTGTGATAATTGTGTTTACCTAATAGGTCTGCATCCTGCCTGAGAACCAGCTCATTACAGTGTTTCAGCATTCAGTGTCTTGTTACACTGATGGAAAGGAGAAATTCTTCTAACTTCTCAATGATTAATGTGTTTCCTTGCAAGTCGTATTTAAACACACCTCAGCAGCGCATAGAGTCCAGCTGATAGTATCTACTAATAATCAGTGTATGTTTTGAAGTCAGTCAGCAACTTAACGTGAGAGCTATCCAAGATTTAGAGTGGAGGGTTTTCTCTGTCTCTATTTCTGCCAACACACACTTATACACACAATTATATACACGGTATTCACACGGTATTCAGCAGATACATGTGTATCTGCAGAAGAAGCAAAGCAGCATTTGGTCAGAGGGAAAATAATCTCTGACACCGGTCGTACAGGGACCCAACAACCCGTAACAAAGGGCAGGGTATCCCATACTCCCGGAGCACCCCCTACAGGATCCCCAGGGAACACGGTAGAACGCTTTGTCCAAGTCCACAAGACACATGTGGAATGGTTAGGCGAAGTCCCGTGCACCTCCAGGACCCTGCCGAGGGAATAGAGCTGGTCCAGCATTCCACGGCCCGGACGAAAACCATACTGCTCTTCCTCAATCCGAGGTTCGACTATCCGATGGACCCTAATCTCCAGAACCGCTGAATAGACCTTCCCAGCGTTTTTTAAATACGGGGACCACCACCCCACTCTGCCAATCCAGCAGAACTGCCCCTGATGTCCACGAGATCTTGCAGAGTCGCGCCCCTCCCTGGGCTGCCAACTTATCATGGTGGAGGGGTTTGAGTATCCCATTGATTCTAGGAGCTATGTTATCCGGGCTTTAAGCCCCTGGTAAGGTCACCAGAGGCAAACGAGTCCTAGGCGAGAGATCAAACGAAGCGAAACCCAAAGACCCCTTGGGATGATTAATGCAAATGTCTCAAGTTGTCCCACACAGGGCCCCGGGGCCCAACTCTGGAGGTGAGGCACGTTGGTGAGTGCTTGGTGGCCACCCATGGAGCTCGTTCGGCCTCAGCCAGAAGATATCACATGGGTCCCCCTTCTGATGGGCTCACCACGTATTGGAGGCGCCTAAGGGATCAGATTCTGTGTGGAACGGGTGGCAGCCCGAGGCGGGGACTCATTCCCAGCTAATGATCTCTATATCTTTAATTCAGAATGGTTCCACCAGCATGCAAATTCCAGAAAAATTACAGGGATATTAGAACCCCTGCCTTTCTTAAAGAATGGTGTCCATCTGCACAACTAGACCTTTTTTACTGTTTCCAATTTCTACATTTTTCAGAAAAAAATAATTCAATTGTTAAGAATTTGTTTTTTAAAAAAATGTTAATGCTTCATTAGATTTTATACAGATGTCCAATTATGTGTGAGCAAATGTGACAACTTGACTCCCAAAACTAACAACAGGTTTTTCCTCAGGGAAGCATGTATCTGAATAGAGTGAAAACGTCTACACCGCATGCTGTATTGTGATCTGAATGCCACATGTAATTAGGAACTTGATTTGTTTTGCTCTCTTGCTGTGACCATCTGTTCCTAAGATTAAATGGGAGGCAGACAGATTAAGACAGTGTTATTCTAGTTTTATTTTTTTTATATATTTTTTTTTTTATTGAAATGCCATAAATCTTTCCCAATATTTTTTCCCGCTCGCACAGCATGTATTTAACCTAATCACCCACATTTTGAATTTTATATTTTAATCTAACACTTTTATGTCATAGTGATGGGGGTACAAGGAGAATACAGAATGTGCCTGGTTCTGCAAGTAACCACATATATTTGCTGTAGATAAGAGAGTTAGCTGTGATCGTCACTCCTCTTGTATTTTTAATGAACACCTCATCAATTGTAAATTTCATTAGCTGTCTAACAACATAAAACAAATGATCCAGGAAGGAAGTATAAGATTTGTTTCGTGTCATTCATTGATGGTTGACAGGCAAGCTGCGTCCAAGGATACATCTTTCATTTTGTTTTCATGAGAACAGACAACCCTATTATAGTAGCAGCCCATAAACACAATCCTTCCTTGGAAAAAAAAGCTCACAACCCAAACCTCCCCAAAAATATGTATTTATAAAGCTGTACTCTTTATGTGTGTAAATGTGGAACATTTCCACACTTTTTTAAATGCATTATTTGTGGGCATGTGACACAAAGTACTGTAGCTTCATGAAATATTTTTCTCTCTGTTTTGCAGATCTGTGACAAGGAATGGCACTATTATGTTATCAATGTGGAATTTCCAGCTGTGACACTATTTGTGGATGGTGTCACCTATGAGCCCTACCTGGTAACAGATGACTGGCCAATCAATGCCTTAAAGATTGATACTCAGCTGACTGTGGGCGCCTGCTGGCAAGGTCAGTGTTTGTGTTGCATTATACAAACCGAAACCAGACAGCTAGAGGAGGAATGGGAGCTATGCGAGCCAAATTAAGGATTACCTGGATGGAGGGGAAGATAAGTGGTGTGAAAGAAAAAAATATTTCATTGTTAAAATAATAACAATAATTAAATTACTGACAAAAAAAACACAAACTGAACTAGAACAGAGACAAATTGATTGAAAATCTGGAGCAAAACAACCTAAAAATAAAGTAAAACCTGGGTTAAAAGTAAGAGAAAGAGGACATAACAAACTAAGATCAGGCATGGCAATTTCGAAATGAAGACCTGGTGAAACAAAAGCAGGGGTAGGTAAACCAATAGAACACATTAGACTCTGAAATATTGGTGTATTTTTTGTTTAATACACATCTTATTCAAGACTGTCAAATAAATACAAAATAAACATTTCATAATATGATTTGTGGCAGCAAATTACCAATGTAAATGTGAGAAAAAAGAAAGCTTTTATGTATTTTCCTCAAAAGTCTGCTTTTTTGCCTTTCATTTGTTGTATCCAGTAGATTTAACCAAAGTCACTAATTTATGTTTTCCCTTGTCTCTTCTTTTTTGAAAAAATGCTCCATCATAACTGGAATATGAATTTAAAGAATTACTAGGAATAGTTTATTTTTTCCCAAAAGTAAAACTTTGCAACAAATATTATTGTTTTATTAAACTCATATTTGCTGATTCCATTCGAGTACAAATAAATGGCATTTGTTCAATCTTCAAACACATGACATAACACAGCTTGAACTGTTTTGAATAATTTACTCCATGAGACAAGTTATGGCCGTTTCGGTATTCTTTCAGACATATAAGACAGAAAAATACCTTTCATCAGATTCTATAACATCTTCTATCAGAAGTTATATACTTTAAAAAAACTATCTCAGATAATGTTGCCACATAAAACAGTTATAGTTTTGGAATTTTAAGATTTAACCCTTTTTCATGGATAAGAATATATCCCCAAAAATTAAGCGTGACACATTTATATAACGTTCAATGGAGTTAGATAAAGACCATATAATAATTTCTCAAACTCTTCAATAAAAAGTTTTTTGCTTAATCAATAGAGTCCTGTCCCAGAACTCGTAACAACAGACTATATGGAATAATGAGAAAAAGCACCAATGAATATGAACGGCAGCCATAAGATATGGGAAATTACATTTGTATTGCAGACAAAGTGAGAAAGCTGCAGATTCACTGTTGAAATGAATAAAGGGATTTAAAGATTTATTCCCGTTGGCTGTAAGCATTTCCTCTTTGAAGCTGAGCGAATTGCAACATAAAATTTTGCATGTCGTTTCAAGCAGTTGGAAACCAAGGCAAGTAGTAGTGATTGCAGTGGAATAAACGCTTCCAATTTTAATCTTGAATAATTACACAAAAGTGCTTCATAGTGCAAAATTAAACCAAAGGTTTGTTCAGCCGCTTCCTTAAAAAGGCGCACACAACACTGGTATCATCCCGAGCTTCAGTCCTGATGGAATTTTGTTTCTTTTAAATATCCCTTCATCCTGTGCCTGATTGCAATTTTCTTTTTGTTGTCATCATTTTCTTCTTTGCCTCATGCAGTCCTCTCATGCTGCCTCTTTCCATGAATCTGATTGTGAGAGAAAGCCTTGAAGGAAGGATTAGCAAGAGTGAATGGCGTACAAGTTCGCCAGCTATTACATCCCAATAAAGCTGCTTTAAGCTTCACTAAGCTGCAACTGATAACTTTGCAGGCCATTAGTGGGCAATATTGACTTACAGAGTCTCATTTTTTCCATCGCCTTTTCCTCCCAATCAAAAGCATAATGATGAGGCGTGGAATAAAAGACATCCACAATGTTCTCTTGCTGCCCCGAGAGCAGAAGAGAAGTCGTGTGTTGTTGCCTCACAAGGTTAAGAAGAAAATATCATGGCAGTTATTGGTTTGAAGCAATTCTCTGTAGCATGAGCTTTTTTAGGGATTTTGAACAGCAAATGCGTGTTTGTTGTCATTTAAATATCTGGAGGACAGTGGGTGGTTACACGTACAGCCACACTCCTAGAGTTCTGATTATTAAGTAAAGAAGCCGAGGTTCATAGTAATTATAGAATGAGTGCACGTGTGTGTGAGGGGGGGTTCATGTAGGAAATGATAATAAAAGAATAAAGAAGCAAGAAACACTACTACTCTTTAAGTTACTACAACACAAAGTAGGAAAATACAGCAGTGAGCACAAGCATAGCTTGAACAACTGAAGCAGGCTCTTCTGTATTTATCAGATATGATTATTGTATACCATCTAACCAGGTTTTGTTCCTTGGATGTGTTGTAATTTTAGTTATTGCAACATATTCTTAATGGATTTCTTTACCTTTTTTAAAATAGAATGCCATTTAGTTCCGTACATTTATGTGGAATTTTGCCTTATGGAAATTTAAGTATTTGAAATGTATTTTGTATTGTTTTCCTTTGAAAAAATGTCAGTAGTGTGGTGGATTTTTGTGCCATCTTAAATAATATTTTTTCAACGTATATCAATACATGACATTTGGTGAGAGACCAGCATGATTTCACAGTGGTCCTTAACTTATGACCTGTAAAATCTAACAAGGTTAGTCAAAGTTAACACCCTCAAAGCACCCCTGAAAGAAGCGATAACATACAGTGGTCTGCAAAAGTTTGGGCAACCTTGTTAATTTCCATGATTTTCCTTTATAAATCGTTGGTTCTTAGGATTAAAAAAATCAGTTAAATATATTATATAGGAGACAAACACAGTGATATTTGAGAAGTGAAACGAAGTTTATACCATTTACAGGAAGTGTGCAATAATTGTTTAAACAAAATTAGGCATGTGCATAAATTTGGGCACCACAGTAAAAAAAATAACTCAATATTTAGTAGATCCCCTTTTTGCAGAAATAACAGATTCTAAACGCTTCCTATAGCTTCCTATGAGGGTCTGGATTCTGGTTGGAGGTATTTTAGACCATTCCTCTTTACAAAACACCTCTAATTCATTCAGGTTTGATGGTTTCCGAGCATGGACAGCTCTCTTTAAGTCACACCACAGATTTTCAATAATATTCAGATCTTGGGACTGAGATGGCCATTCCAGAACGTTGTACTTGTTCCTCTGCATGAATGCCTTAGTAGATTTTGAGCAGTGTTTAGGGTCATTGTCCTATTGAACGATCCAGCCCCGGCGCAGCTTCAGCCTTGTGGCTGATTCCTGGACATTGGTCTCCAGAATCTACTGATATTTGGTGGAATCTATGCGTCCCTCAACTCTAACAAGATTCCCAGTCCCTGCACTGGCCACACAGGCCCACAGCAGGATGGAACCACCACCAAGTTTTACTGTAGGCAGCAGGTGTTTTTCTAGGAATGCTGTGTTGTTTTTCCTCCATGCATGACGCCCCTTGTTATGTCCAAATAACTACATTTTAGTTTCATCAGTCCACAGCACCTTATTACAACTTATCCAAATGTGCTTTAGCATACCTCAAGCGGCTTTGTTTGTGATGTGGGAGGAAAAAAGGCTTCCGCCGCATCACTCTTGCGTACAGCATCTCCTTGTGTAAAGTTTGCGCAGTAGTTGTACAGTGCACAATGACTCCATCTGCAGCAAGATCATGTTGAATGTCTTTGGTGCTAGCCTGTACTGTTCTAACAATTCTTCGCTTCTGTTTATCCGTGATTTTCCTTGGTCTGCCACTTGGAGCCTTAACTTGAACTGTGCCTGTGGTCTTCCATTTCCTGACTATGTTCCTAACTGTCGAAACAGACAACTGATCCTTCCCCTAATTCATGTTGGTGAACAATCTTTGTTTTCAGGTCATGTGACAGTTCTTTTGAGACTCCCATGTCGCTGCTCTTCAGAGAAGATTCACAGAGGAGGGAAACGTACAATTGCCCCCCCTTAAATACTCTCTCATAATTGGGTTCGCCTTGTGTATGTAGGTCAAGGGTCACTGAGCTCCCCAAACCAATTTTGAGTTCCAATAATTGGTTCTAAAGATTTTGAAATCAGTAAAATGACAACGGTGCCCAAATTTATGCACATGCCTAATTTTGTTAAAACAATTATTGCACACTTCCTGTAAATGGTATGAACTTCGTTTCACTTCTCAAATATCACTGTGTTTGTCTCCTATATCATATATTTAACTGATCTTTTTTATCCTAAGAACCAACGATTTATGAAGGAAAATCATTGAAATTAACAAGGTTGCCCAAACTTTTGCAGACCACTGTATGCCCCCCAGAAACAGGAGAGGCTGAAGCTTACCGAAATATTCTCAGAACAATAATTTAAGGTCCTAAATCAGATTTGAGTTTTTTTTGTAGCTAACGTGAGCAGCCCTTGAAAATACTGAGAAAATCTGTTTTAGACAGAAGAACTTTAATGTGCACACAACTTAAATCCTGTTCCCAGTATCCTTGTGAGACTGGCTATTCTTTCAAGTGACTCAAACTTTGAAATACTTGCAAACATATATTGACCTAAAGATTCACTCATGGTACTAAGAAAATTGCCTTTCATGGTAGATAGATCTGTAAGAGCATGTGCGAATATGGGAATTTGTTCTTGAATGTTTTTACAACTGAAAAAGTGCGTGTCTGCTGCATAGTGATGAAGGTTTTTAGCCTTTAGCTAAGGAATCAAACAGACAGTTACAAAGAGCAGATTTGCAATGTTATGCAACATGTCTCTTTTCAAACATTGTTTCTGAAAAGTTCTCCAACTTAGACCTCAAGAGGGATGTCGTCACATCAAATTAGTTCTGTACTGATCATTTATTTAACTAGTTTGTGCATAGAAATGGCTACAAAATGTTATTTTTGTCAGAACATCTCAGAGTATTTAAGAAATATCAAACACTATCAGCTTCTTCAATTAAATAATTCAAAGATGAATTTGCTTTTTAGATTTGTAGTGTTAATCTATAAACATAAGTGCATGCCTTGACAAAGGTAATTCAGTTGCACATACCCATACCCAATACACTACAAAGTCATGATAAAAACCTTTAACTTTAACCCCATTCATAAGAGATTGAGAGGACAGAATTGAATAATGGCGCACAGTAGTGAAGAGAAAGAGAGATGATGGGCAGGAAAATTAGAACTATTATTCCTTCTGCCCCTACTTAAACGACTCTTCATCCCAGATGTTCAGTGCTCTAAATCTCCCATTTGAGAAGAGAAATACTTGACAAATAAGTGTCAAGACTCAATTTAAATAAAAAGGAAGAACTTTATTTAACAGCAATAACTGACAGCAGTTTTGGAATTTTGTAGAGTAGTGATCTATTCACACAGTTTCAGTGACATACTATTCAGGTAATTTATCTGTATAACTTTATCGACATTTGTGTTTAATATTCAACCACTGTGACATAAGGTTAGAATATTTTTCACTTTAGATCATTATGCTCTATTAGTGGTTTGAGCATGAGGCACTATGATCTCATCTTCTCAAACAGTTTTTTAGAAGTTTGAGAACGTCCAAATTGACATTTAGTGTTTATCCTACTTGTGATGAGGGTTATTTCTAAAGAGCTGCTGAATTTAAACTACTTGTCATACATGTTTAACTGTGAGCAGTTTCTGAAAGACATGTATTATGTGAAACATGTCTACTAAGTGTTAATTTACTAGTGATATACACATTATCTTTTTAAGTTAATATTTTATTTATTTAAAACGTTTTATAGAGGGGCCCTTTTACATTTAACTGCATTTTCCTTTGTCAAAAAAACATCAAAATGAAGACCTGAAAAACCAAACCAAAATGAAAGGCAGTGTATATGTGACACTATTTTCTATGCTCCATACCCCTGTCTTGTTCCTTTCGACTGACTTTAGAGTGAGGGTGCCTCCAGCTAAAGATTGACTGGCTCATAAAAACATCTGCAGTTTCTGACTACAGCACCAGTCCGTTCAGAGCAGTCTTGAGCCAGGAGAACTGTTCACACATTTCCACGACACTAGGAATATGCTGTATATTATCTGTTTTGTATTAGTCTATTTATAGTCTAGATAAAATCACCTTGCATTGTATAGCTCAGTTACATTCATGTGGGGCAAGGCATCCTTTACATTCTCAACCTTTTATAAATCCTATATGCCTGTGATGTATCTTAATACTGCCCAATTTCTAAGGAAACTGCTATCATTTATATTTTTCTGTTGTCAAACCACGAAGTATTTTGTCACTGTCTTTCTGCTCTTTCTGCGGTCTGCCAGCTAACATTATTTGTCAGATTTTATAATGAATAGAATATATGAAAATATAACTAAAAGAGAGTTACCCTTAACTTTTATATTGTCATCCTGTCTCATCTTATGGCAGCTGAGAAAGCCTCCATGTGACAGTAAAGATTGGATGGATGGAAGCCTTCTGAAGACAATAAATACATAAGATCAAGCATATCAGTTGACATCTATGACAACAATAAAACCAGTACCCATCCTCAAGTAGATAGTGTCACTGTTAGCTTGATTAAAATACTTTTTTACTGCCTGTTAGAAATAACACCAGTTGTTTCAGACATTCACCATGGCAACACTCTTAATTCTGATTAAAGACAACTGACTGAGAATCTACATCGACAACACTCTGTTTCTATCCTTTTCTACCTTTCTATGGAATAGACATTTATTTGCATAATTTTTTTCAATTAACCCTTTTAACCACTTCTGTATCTGACTGTATCATTTTTTACTCTTTTTCTTGTCTTCACCGTGTGTCTTCTCTTTGTCTACTAGGTGGTGAGGTAGCGACCCCGAGGTTCACTCAGTTTTTCCATGGCAGCCTTTCAGGTCTGACAATCAGACCTGGCCGCATTGAAACCCAGAAGGTTATCTCTTGTTTGCAGGCCTGCAAAGAAGGGCTTGATATCAATTCCCTTGAAAGTCTAGCAAAGGATATAAAGGTGTGTAGAGAAGACTAAGGTGCAATTACTGTTCTAAAATCTTTATAGCTCTCATTAGCAGAATGGTAAAAATATTACCTTTGCTTTATGGTAAAAATAAAAGTAATGCTTTTTTTTTGCATTCAGCATCTTTTAAAACATTATCTCAAAATTTTGAGTAATTGTGGTAAAACAAAGTTTGTATATTTGTTTGTTTGTCCAGTTTCATTTTAACCCAGCTCAGTCTGTTCTGGTGGTTGAAGGAGAGGATGTGGACAGCATCAACACAGCCATGACAAAGGTATCATACATAAACTCTCGCCAGTTCCCCACGCCAGGGCTCAGACGGCTACACATCTCCACTGCAGTACAGTAAGCAACCAGTAGACGCATTTCTAATTACACACTGCTTGGTTCTGGCCCATGATTCTAAAAATCTTGAAAATGTACAAAATATAGGGTTAATGGCACTATTTTCAGGCTCATATTGAGTGTTAAAGTGTCATTTAATATTTCATCTCAATGTAAAATAGGTGGTATATGGATGTTTAAGCATATTTATGCGGAAGGAACACATTTTAATCTTATTGTTTTTAACTTTTGCTTCAAAACTTTTTTGAAATTCTTTTCTTAAGCACCTATCACAAATCACACAGTTCCTTGAATGGTCAATTTCTCCAGGCAGTGTGCTACATCCACAACTGACACACCATCCACCACAAATGCTTTGCTCTGCAAGGAACTGGGGATCCAACTCGATTTGTCTGAGCACAACACTTTGCTTTTATCTTCAGTGTCATAAAGGAAATGCGCTTTTTGTTTAAGTAGAGATTACTCTTTTCAGCTTTTCTAAAGGCACATCTTAAACCAATGCATGTCAGGAAAATGTTTGTTTTTTTCATTGCATTTAAAGGGCAACAGTATTTGCACATGTGCTAGTTGAATGCTAAAACGAAATAAAGAACATGATGGTATTTGACATGAAGCTTTGCATTTATTAAATCATGCCTTTTTTCCTTGTTTGCCTTGTTTTTTGCACAGGCAAACTTTGTCTCTATTTTTAAATCACATGTTAATTAGTTATTGTTTTTTTTTTTTTGTATTCCTGTGATATTATAGCACGTTCAGCAACACTGATATTTCGACAAAATTAACCTTCCATTCCAGAAACCGTATGGAACGAGCTTCATCATCATGACATCAAACTTGTCGCCATAGATATGGTTCAAAACTCTGAAACTCCTTCAGTTTCATAGTTACCTATGTTTTTGTGTTCTGATGAGTACTGTATTATTAGCTATCATCAGCTACAATAATAGAAATATTGTGCTATTTTATTACTAATTAATCTGGCAGAGGACATTCAATGATCGGATTTGATCATTTGGATTTTTTGCATAATCAGCATTGTATAAATCACTTCAGAAGAAAATGTACTGTATCATATTGGTTTTGTTTTGTTTGTGTGTCTGTGATCATCTTTGCTTTTGTAAAATGCTTCCATAGTTTTCAATTACATAGGCTGTTTGTGTGATACACAGATTTGTGTGTATCATCCTGCATTTACTAATGTTAGATAATTCAGTTTCTCCTATCATCCTGTGTTCTGGTTATGCATATAAAAGCTACACTTGAAATGTGTTATGGACATTTTTGTTGCATGCTGGACTCCCTTGTGTCTCATAATTGTAAGGCATTGTTCAAAGTAGGCTGGCATTTTAAGCTGTTTGTGCTTAGTTGCTGGGGAACAAATGAGGAATTAAAAATAGCTTATGGTAAGGAATAGGTTAAGATTATGGTCAGTTGATTATGACTGCTCTCAGTGTTTGGGTATCCTTTCTTCTAGCATACACGCTTGTGAAAGCCAACTTCATTCCATGTGGAAGTGGCATAATTGTCTCTTCATGTTGGTTAGTGATTGTATAAGTTACGGTATGTTACCACTCAACTGACCTCTGTGAAAGTACTCTTTTTCCCTAACTCTTGTTGATGATTGTCATCAGTTTCAGCATTCTGAGAAGAAAAGACAAAGATAGTCGTGACATACAGTGAGGAAAATAAGTATTTGAACACCTTGCACTCCATAAGTCCTCCTACTTAGAAATCATGGAGGGGTCTGAAATTTTCATGATAGGTGCATGTCCACTGTGAGAGACATAATAAAAAAAAATAATCCAAAAATCACAATGTATGATTTTTTAAATAATATATTTGTGTTACATATCTGAACACCTGTGAAAATCAATGTTAATATGTGGTTTTGGCCCATTCCTCCACACAGATCTTCTCCAGATCAGCCAGGTTTCTGGGCTGTTGTAGCGAGATACAAAGTTTGAGCTCCCTCCAAAGATTTTCTATAGGGTTTAGGTCTGGAGACCGGCTGGGCCACTCCAGAACCTTGATATGCTTCCTATGGAGCACTTGGTTATCCTGGCTGTGTGCTTCGGGTCATTGTCATGTTGGAAGACCCAGCCACGACCCATTTTCAAAACTCTAAGGGAAGCAGGCTGTGCCCTAAAATCTCCCAATACATGGCTACGGTCATCCTCTCCTTAAAACAGTTCAGTCGTCCTGTCCCATGTGCAGAAAAACATCCCCAAAGCATTCTGCTTCACAGTAGGGATGGTGTTTTTGTTATGGTACTCATCATTCTTCGTCCTCCACACACGGCGAGTGGAATTAAGAGCAACAAAGTTCTGTTTTGGTCTCATCTGACCACAGAACTTTCTCCGATGAGTCCTCTGGATCATCAAAATGGTCATGGGCACACTTAAGACGGGCCTGGACATGTGCTGATTTAAGCAGGGAAACTTTCCGTGCATGGCTTTAAACTATGACATCTTAATGTATTAGCCACAGTAACCTTGGAAACAGGATCATAGATACTTAGGATCATAGATACGCCACGAGGTGAGATCTTGCAGTCCAAGGGAGATTGACAGTTTGGCTTCTTCCATTTTCTAATAATAGCCTGCAACAATAAAAAAAAATTTAACCAAGCTGCTTGGCAATTGCTCCGTAGCTCTGGTGTTTTTGGACAGCTCTTTGGTCTTAGGCATGATTGTGTGGGGTGGACAGGTGTTTATATGCAGCTAGCGACCTCAAACAGGTGTTTCAAATTTAGAGTAATATGTGGAGTCGAGGCGAATTTTTAGAGATGGACTAACAGGTCTTTGAGGGCCAGAATTTATGATGACTGGCTGGTGTTCAAATGCTTATTTGCAGCAGCAACACACAAATATATTATTAAAAAATCATATATTGCAAGTTTTCTTCACATCATTAATCTCACAATGGACATGCACCTAAGATGAAAATTTCAGACACCTCCACAAAGTTGCAGGATGTTGAAATGCTTGTTTTCCTCACTGTAAATCAGTGAACGACTGAAAACCCTTGGTTTGTTGCCTTATTGTAGTTTATTTAGGCATTCTCTGAGTATGTATTTTTAGTTTTAAAAAAAATCCAATTAGAGTTAGGGCAGCATGGTGGGGTGGTGGTTAGCACCATTGTGTCAAAGCAAGAGGGTTCTGGGTTCAAGTCCCCAGGGGAAACAGAACCTTTCTGTGTGGAGTTTGCATGTTCTTCCTGTGTCTGTCTGGGTTCTCTCCAGGTTCTCTGGCTTCCTCCCACCATCCAAAAACCTGCATGTTAGGTCGATTGGACATTCCCAATTTACCTGAGGAGTGAGTGTGCGTGGTGGTTGGTCCTTCTGTGTCTCTGTGTGGCCCTGTGATGAACTGGTGGACCATCCAGGGTGTAGCCCGCCTCGCAACCCCATTGGGGAATAAGTGGTTAAGAAAATGGATGGATTGGCTGATTAGAATTACAGAAAGCATAAACTGAAAATTAACTATATTAGCAAATAATTAAATAACATAGACTCTCCTTACATAGGCTGTAGTAATGGTTGATAGTATTACCCAACGACATATTGCTGGTAAGTTAATTATTTCATTAGATTAATTCACAAATAATTAAGCATCAATTGCTTAATAAAACACTTCAATAGTGGTTAATCGTCAGTTCATAGATCATCCCCGTTTTTTCCCAGTCAACTAAACAATAATTAATTAGACTTATTTCTTATAGAAATACCTATGTCAGACTTTTATAGTTGATTCGGATTCACCTGGTTTTCAGGTACTCGGTTTGATGGATTGTTACTATCAGTGGAAGATTAAAGTCAAATGATGCATACATAATACACAATTTGGTGAAAAGAAGTGTGGCCAATCTACTGTGTGAATTATAAAGCCACAAGAGTCTTAGTAAGATAGTAAACGATGGACCATTTAGTTACACCGCTAAACAGAACAGGTGCTCATTCAGAAAACAAAGAATATTCATGAGTGCAAAAACCATATCCCTTAAATTTTTCTGTCCTTGTTCTGTTCTTTTTTCTTTATCTTCTCCCTCTGCTTTTCTGTCAGCATCCATCTGGAGTTGACTTGATTGAATTCTCTTTGTTCTCTGGCAGCAGGACGAGGTCACTCTATCAGACAGCCTCTTTTTCGTTCTCTTGTTGATATTTTTTTAATTTAGATTCAGTTTGGGAGTGCTTTGAAGTCTCCAGAAACTTGCACCCACCCGCGGGATTATTTTCCTATATTTAAGATTGATAGACTTGCTATATAAACTATCATTTTTCCAGTTTTTTTATTCCCTTGTGTGCTGTGCATTAGAAATCCTAACCTCCACTATAAGTATTTTAGAAACTATGATTAAATTAATTTAGCCTGAGTTGAAAGTCTCATTAAAGCAAAATTGCAAGCTTTTCTCTTTATTAACAGCCAGCTCTGACATTTAAACTTAAAAATGAGATGTGGAAATTAATGAAAAGGACTCATTGGAAGTTGAATGCTCAAACAAAACCCCTCAGCTGCAACTCAACAGCCTGCCTACAGTTTTCTTGTTTCCATGGAAAGTATTTCTTCATCCCTCTTTATTTGAGCTCTAATAATAGTTTGACATACTTCGTTGGTGTACTAAATGATAAAGTCACATACTTCTGTGAAGCACTCAGAATGCTGTATTAGTTGAGACGATTTTTTGACAATCATTTTTAAATGCTCAGATATGCCCTGCGATGGATTGGCGGTGTACCACAGGGTGCACCCGCCTTTCGCCCCTTTTTTCTGTTGAGAATAAGCGGTATAGAAAAATGGATTAATGGATATTCAGATATTTAAATGTAAAATCCTATTAGACAATATAACTCAGATGTACCTATTGTTGCTTCCATTCTTTGTCGTTTCTTAACTTGATTAATTTACTCTCTTCAGTGTAGCTTGATGAAATGAGCCTCTGACTGCTTTTCTGTTCTACAGAATCTCAGTGTTTAAACCAGAATGTTACGTAATTTCAGAGAGAATTGCCATACGATTGAAAAGATTGCATTTAAAGTTGTTCAAAAGTCCCTAAAACTTTCTCCCTGTCCAGCACAAAAATAAGCAATAGTTTGGTTGTCATATATTGTAACACACAGACAAAAAGTCTCTCACTGGGGGAGGGGTCCTCTCCAGATATTTTAGTATTTTCCCAGTTTGTTCTTAGTTTGTGAGGTCTTTTTTTTTACATGAACCCTTCATGCAGATGGTTAAAGAAAGATCCATTGATAGCAACAATGTCAGTGTTGGCTATAAAAGGAAAGCAATCAGTTCTAATCACCCCCACACTGACACACTCATTCATGCTTCATGGTGGAAAGTGAAATTTCCTGTACATCCCACCAGGGCTGTGTGGGGGTGTGGGAGTATTCTCTGTGGTTTAAAACATAACCACTTCGACACAATAAGACTTGATTTCTCAGATTTATTGCTTCGCTTTGTGATGGGCAGCACTCTACCTCATGATACCCACCCCCCCAAACTGGTAGAAAATTAAATAAGTCAGATTTCCTGGTAGAAATTTAGGTAAGGTTGTAAAGGACAAAGCTTTGAATGTTTTCATTTTTGTCACCCTCCGTCTCAGCATTAAAATGTTTACTTGGAAATACAGCATTACGTAATGGTACATCATGGGAAGTCAATAACCATTCAGTACATTTTTAACCATGTTTATTTGTACATATGTAATCCTGCTGAAAAATAAACATTTACTTAAGTCTATCAGCAGCTATGTTATGCACTTTACCAAATAACATTGTCTCTCTCTCCAAAATTTAATTTTTCTCAAGGTTTATGACCTCATAATATTAAATTACATTATATGATAAACAAATAAAAATACCCTGAAGTATGTTGAGTAATATATGAAACACCAGGCCTAAGGCTAGATCAAGACAAAAATGCCCGGAGGATATACAGCTACTCCTGTACCCTCCTGTAACGTCTCTTCTCTTTCTCTCTGTGTGTCAGGTGCTTTGGAGAGGACACATGTCTCTCCATCCCAGACATCAAGGCAGTGGTTATGGTGCTCCCCCCCAGTGAACCCAAAATCACCATTACAGGATCTAATCAGCTAGTCAGGCCTGGCAATGACCTCCGCAGCTCCCTCGGTGTGGCACTCTTCAAAGAGCTTCACATCACCAGCACAGTGATGAAGGGAGACAGTTTGGGCAGATGTGAGTGGCAAGAAAACATTTGGCCTTGGCCAAGCCGTTTTGTCATACGGCACTCTAGATGTCATAAAAAAAAAAAAAATTCTAAGCAAAAGTCTTTTTTCACAGTCCACAGGCCCGGTGTGATGGAGGTTATGCACAACTTGGATTACTGTGATGTGCTGGTAATTGGGGAGGAACTGAATCCTGAGAGAGAGAGTCTGGAAATTCATCACAGTGCTCTGTTGGGGAAACACCTAGATGCTACAAACTCCACCTCTGGAATATCTATTTATGGTGGGCATAGCTAACTCCGAATAGCATCAATGCCCCTTAATGCTCATACTGTGCCCTCTTTTTCTGGGGAATCTGTAAGAATCACAAAAATAATCAAGAAATTGATGGATATTAATTTTACACACAGCAATTGAGGTTTTTAGAAATGACTCTTATTTATATTTTATGGGTGTTTGTGTCACTGTAATGTGCAGTTATGTAGCTTGTGTCAGACTGACATGCTGTTACTCTTACTAGGTGTGGACTCCATGGCCCACTATGAGCAGGCATTGAGGCAGTTGCGCTACAGGAACTGGCGACCTGCCACTTTGACTGACAGAAGGTTCAGACTTACCTGCTCTGAACTCAACGGGCGATATACCAGTAACGAGTTCAATTTGGAGGTTGGCTTGAGATTTTATCTTGCTACTGTCCCCTGTATGGTTTATCAGTCTGTTCATGCCAAGTACATCACAGTAGTACTTGGTGATTAATCTTCACCGTCTCTTTGGCTCTTCTCTGTCTTTGTTAGGTCAGTGTTCTTCACCATGGTGAGCGTGTAGAGCATATCAACAATATGGCTGTCCAACCCCAGTATATGAGGCCTGTCCATCATCCACTCATGATCCATACTTTCAACTCACACATGTCAGGTAAGCCACACGTGAAACTGAGCAGTTTTCTTATGAAAACAAATGGCACTGGGTGATACATCATGTGATAGCAAAGATTAACAAGCATTTCTCTTGTCTTTGAATGAGTCTAATACACCAAAGCCACTGTCTCTGGTCGTCAAAATATCATGCACTGGTTGAAAGAAGGAACAAGTGTGGCTGCACAAAAATGCCAGTGGTGCATATACAGGTTTTTCCAGAGATCACTTACAGAAGGACAACAGCGTCCATCAGGTGTGCCACCATTATTGGCCTTAAACCGCACCTATAAAACCGGCCTTTCTCTTCTTGTCCAGGAGCAGCACCCCCCGCAGCAACTGTGGTTATTGTGGTTTGTATCGCCGCCCTAGTGGTGATCGTGGTGATAGGCATCTACAGGATTCACGCCACACATCAGGAAGGGTTAAGGGATGACGAGGATGAGGTCAAAGATCCAGAAGTTGACTGGGACAGCTCTGCACTCAACATCATCATCAACCCCATGGAGGTAACACTGGATGCTGGTGTCTACACCTTGTTTTGTCAGTATGTTTCTAAATTTCGAAATGTGATGGCTGGTCCACTCAGTGCGGATTTTCTGTATGTTTTTATAGGACATGAGAGGTCCCCAAGCGTTGGAAGACACTGTAAGAGAGGAGGAAAATGAGGAGGAGGAAGACGAAGAAGATGTTGAGCTGGTAGGAGGCGTGACAATTGCTGAGTCAGACAACAGTGATGATGAAGACGAGGAGGTGGACGATGGGAAGAAAGAGGCTAATGGGAGGAAGCCAAGGGGGAAACCTGAGTGGGACAGTTCCTCAGCAACTTACTGATCACACATAAACATAAATATATACTCACATGCAAACACACGCATATCATAAAATCTCTGATCAAGTCATTTTAAATCTGTTGCTGGAAAATACACCGAATCCTTCCAAGTTGTCATTTTTAATGAAACAACGCTCTCTGCTGGTCAAAGTCAAACATACAGCAGCATCACTGGATCTGCCAGAGAGTACCACAGTGCTGGAAAACATCATCAACATGTACATTACTATCTACATCACACTGAGTGAGGCAGAGCATTTTTAACTATATGAAACAAGCACAGTTGTCTCATTTCTGTACGTGTGCAGCCTTGTGTGGAGTTTTGCAGGCCCCAAAATCTGTAACAACATCTGCTACACTTTTCCTCAGATTGATTCTAGCTTTATTTTTTCTTGTCTGACTGTATGAAGTTGACTTAATGGTAAAATATATGTATCCACTAGTTATTGTTTCCTGGACCATTGAAGCTATAACTCCCTTGATCTAAATAGTAGATGACACATTGCTGTGCAGCCACTCAGGGTATCCTCTGTTACTTTAAAGAGCAGTCAGACACCTTGCTCTCATATTTGTGAGTTTTCCATGAGCATTACTGTGGCTCTGTGGTCTTGACACGAAAGAGAAAATATGATCTTTTACCAGAAGCAGTCTTCATGACTGACATACAACACGTAGAGAACAAGGACTAATTCTTTATGAAGTCATTGTTTTTCTACAGTCGTTCAGAGCCGAAATCCCTAATTATTTAGAGATCTGAGTGCAGTTAAAATGCGAAAAACAAAAGACATCTTGGCTCTGTTTAAATCCAGCACTTTACCATCAATGTAAAGTCTGTCAGTGATTTATAGCTTGCTGAAAGCTTGGATGTTTAATGGTAGATCATTTCATTTCAGTACTCTGTGTACTTCTAAATCACTTCAATTACTTTAATCAAAAGATTAAATTATACATAGATGATATTGTTTGTAACTGGGGGAGGGGGTTGCCTCTGCTTTACATTTTTAATCTGATGTAAGTAGATATGGGAAATAGACTTTTTATTTATGGAGTAATTTCTATTCTTTTAAAGATGTTTACTTTTTATTTGCATATAATCACATCATCATTTGGTCACGTGAGAGAAGCCTTCAAGCCACATATCTGAGGAGTAAAAAAACAAAAAGCATTCATCTGTGCAGAAAAGTCTGTTAAAATGGGTGTTTTCTGTTGTCCTCTCACATCTATACTTTTATTTAAAAATTCAGACTCTTAAAATCAATATTATGGCATTACCCATTTTATGTTTAATGTGTCATAACAGAAGTAGGTAGTCAAGTTCTCAAGACAGGCGTGGAAATTGCTTTAAAGATGTACTTGAAGTAGAAGAAAAGACATCCCACAGAGTACATTGTTATAACTGTTTTTCATTTGTTTTCGTTTTTTCCAAGCAGGTCTGCTGGTGACTGCAAATCTCTTCTTTTAATTTTTTGGTGTTATATCAAGCTGTGTAAAACCCCACAGAGAACCTTTAGTGTAAGGCTGAGTAGTATTTTTAGTATTGTCAAGTTCCGTCATCTTTCTCACTGCTACATGGAAAATTAGACACTTCATACTGACGGCAGCCATTCTGTTACAGATTAAAGGTCAAGTGTGTGCGAAGTAGATGAAGTAGTTTAACATCTGAACTGTAATGGCTTTAAAAAAAAAAAAAAGAATTTAAAAAAGGCTGATTTGTCATCTGTCACTGTGCTGTGCTCCATCTGACCGCTCTGACACAGATCACCTGCCCTCCCATCTGTTTGCCTTTAAACACCCGTGATTGTGACGTCATCATTGTGCAACAACTTCCTTGTTTCCTTTGTCCTCCTTTGTCATGCTTCTGAAAATTAAAGAGAAAAAAGATCCTTTTACATATAAAAGTAAACCATGTAAAAAATGTTCAAGACAGTTATTTTATATGTTTCCTTTTCTTTTTTGTAAACAAAATAGTTGGGGATATCTCTCTCTCTCTCTCTCTCTCTCTCTCCAGTGGTCATCCCACTGCTTTCTGTATATTGACCAATAAAGAAATGTTTTAGACTCTGCACAGCTGTCCATGATGTTTCTGCACTGCAGGACTTATAAATGACTCAGTAATCTGTCAATGTGGCTTTTGGCAAGTTGCCTGCATTCATCTCATGTTTGCGCTACCCTCCAGCAGTTTAATTTGTTTACATGATGAGTTGGCAATGATAGAGGGATGGTATTGTTCACATAACTTATCGGATCTCATATTGGTCCTTCTGGCAGAATGCAGCCCCACATATAATTACAATTATCTTATGTTGCTTTTGAGCATTTTTATTAAAAGTTTGCAGTTTTCCTGGCTGCGTTTGTTTTTTTTTTTGTATAAATTTTAGTAAAGGGTTCTGACTGTATTGTCAGAAAATTACTCAGTGCTGCATGATATCTTATGGCCTCTAAAAATCTTTTTTATGCAAAGAAGTTAAAGGAAATGTCTTCAGTTCATATACTGAAGATTTGAATGAATGAACCGTCATCAAAAATATCAAACCGCACAACGTCTATGGCTCATTGATCGTGAGCCGTCTGAGAGGAAATGGCAAATATAAACCAGAGAAGAAATATGAGAACACAGGATGTCACATGCACAGTGACACTGTCAAATATGTGGCATTGAAAGGTTACATAATTGATGACAAAGTAATGAACAAATACCCCATATACATGACAAAAAGATAGAAGGTTAGTAATCGCTCAAAGAAAGATTATATTTTTATTACAAAATCAGGTGACTTTGGTGAAATATATCACACAGTCTGGGAACATAGTCCCCAGAGTCTTGGGACAAGGTCAGTGTTCCTGCTTCTGCTTGCACATGTCACACCTTCAAAAAGAGGTTACTGAGAAATCACCAATGTAAATTCAAATAAAACTCAGGAAATCCTTACTATGTATTTGGTGAACAAACATCTTAAACTTTTGTGAAAATGAATCTCATAATATCAATGTAATCTGACAGCAAATGTAGCTGTTTTTGATAACATTGTGAGCACATGACTATAACAAAAATAATCCATCCATCCATTCTCCTCCGCTTATCCGGGGTCGGGTCGCTGGGGCAGCAGCCGGAGCAGGGAAATCAAGACTTCCCTCTACCCGGCCACTTCCGCCAGCTCCTCCGGGGGGATCCCGAGGCGTTCCCAGGCCAGCCGGGACACATAGTCCCTCCAGCGGGTCCTGGGTCTTCCTCTGGGCCTTCTCCCGGTGGGACGAGCCCGGAACACCTCCCCAGGGGAGGCGACCAGGAGGAATCCTGATCAGATGCCCGAGCCACCTCAGCTGGCTCCTCTCCACGTGGAGGAGCAGCGGCTCTACTCCGAGCCCCTCCCGGATGGCCGAGCTTCTCACCCTATCTCTAAGGGAGAGCCCAGCCACCCTTCGGAGGAAACTCATTTCGGCCGCTTGTATCCGCGATCTCGTTCTTTCGGTCACTACCCAAAGCTCGTGACCATAGACGAGGGTGGGAACGTAGATCGACCGATAAATTGAGAGCTTCGCCTTTAGGCTCAGCTCTCTCTTCATCACGACAGACCGGTACAGCGCCCGCATTACTGCAGACGCCGCACCGATCCGCCTATCGATCTCACGCTCCCTACCCCCATTTGCAAACAAGACCCCGAGATACTTGAACTCCTCCACTTGTGGAAGGACGTCCACTCCGACCCGGAGAAGGCACTCTACCCTTTTCCGGTGAGAGACCATGGTCTCGGACTTGGAGGCACTGATCCTCATCAACAAAAATAATGAAAGCATACAAATACATACTGTACATATTTTCAAGAATCTTCCACAGATCTTTTTTAGCCACGATTATAGGTTTGATATAATCAACAAGAAGACGAAGTAATAGTACTCATCTCAGTGCAGTACAGTAAATGTAAAACTCAGATCCACTGATGGGAAAGCAAAAAAAAAAGAAAAAAAATATCTGACATTTTTCTGTTCTGCCTTATTATATAATATTAAACCAAAATTCACACTCACTATTGACAGCAACCAAAACCGTAGGCTCAGATTCAACCAAATGAAGAGTGTTCTTAGTTTTTGTTACTGAGTGCACGATTATCACTCATTTATTTTTATTTTATTTGTACTACTTTTTTAGCCTCAGAGTGCGAGCAGTTCAAAAGCACATTGTTTTTATTAGAATTGTTTTCATCCATTGTGCATCTACATAAACTTCCAACCAGAACTGCATATTGTAATCGCCCACAATTGATGTTGGCTTGATGGTAACTCAACAAATGTAACACTAAACTATACTTAAATGCTCTTATTGAAAATGTTTGTTAAAACAGACGTTACTGCCAAACCTTATTTGAAGCCCTGAAAAGATTTCAATAGATTTTTATTGACTGGCCTTCATTTGAGTTTATCGATGAGATGTTGAGTTCTAAGGAGTTGCTCCTTGGCCTTTTCCATTTACAATACCTCTGACCTCTCATTTCTGCTCTCACTGGAACACTGAGGATTGAAAGGATTTTTACTTCAGTGGCAGACTCTATGTACCATTAAACATTTATAGTCAGTACCACCTATTCAAGTACACTTTCTGAAATGATTAGTGGGGTTTCAAAGACAGAAACATTGCTATTCATGGTAAACACTGTGTGCCGGCAACAACTTCCATTGACTGAAAATATTCCACCTTGACTTGGCTTCATCCTTCATTTACTCATTATTTACAGGGAATTTGCATTAATTTTGGCAAATTAAAGTACATCCATCAGACATACAACACAAGGTTTCTAGCATTTCCTATTCGATAATCTTTGTTACAAACAATAAGCATGTCTGTTGCCAAATGTGCTTTTGTGAGAGGCTCACTTCTGAGTTGCTGTTCAGTTCGTTGTTCAGTTAAATCAGATGAGATCTATAGTGTATGAGAGCATATGTAGGCAAACAATGTGCTGAACACTGTTGTCCCAACAGCAAAGTACCATTAATTTTGTTTGATGGT